GTATTGTAATGACAACCAATTCCCTTGCAGTCTGTAAAACTGTCAATCAAAATCATATGGAACAGGGAGGTGGGGGTGCATGGGGTGGAGATGGGTGGGCTTTTGGGGAGGGCTGCAGATCTCTAGACCAGATGTCAGAGTTGTGGACACAATAAAGGGAGGGAACAGAGGTGGGAGGGAAGAAATAGCAGGGGGAAGTCAGGTGTACCTGTAGCTAAGCTTAATGGTGAATATCAAAAATGTTTTGACTTATATATAAATTATTGCAGTCAGATGCAATAGTCCTGCGATAAATCCTTCCTTGTAGAAGGTGATAATGTTCAATTTTTGTTGAAACTGTTGACTCAACTTGATGGTCGTTTTGGGTGATATATTTTGTACAAGTGTTAAACTGTCAGTGCAAAACCCATTTGTTTAAACATAGAGGGCATTAAAGTTAGAGAAGTTGTGTATTGACAACTATGGAATTTTAAATCAGAAATAAAAGCAATAGCTCAATTCTTTGGGAATATTTGGGATTTTTTTACATTTATAATTTAAGTTTTTTATTATTTTATTTATTTTTCTGAGGGTTAGATAGATGAAAAGATAAGATTAGCTTATCTCAAGATCAGACCAAATCAAGGTAACAAAATCTGTCTACCCGCACCTCTACAACTCGCTGATTAACACATATCTTGATATCTTGTGTTTTTTTTGTTTGTTTGTTTTTTTTACCTACCATAAACTTTAAGTATATTTTAGTGTAGCCTGGCAAAGAAATAGTCTATTGCACAACTTCCCTACTACCACAAAGATGTGCATGGTTATGATACATTTTACATGATAGTGAGCTTTGGAGGAGCTGGTGAAAATTTTGTTTTACTTTAAAAAACAAAAAGAGCCAGCCCAGGTGTTTCTCCCATTTCCAGTCTTTGTGCTAAGCTAAACAGCTAGTGGATGTAGCATCATATTTACCATGATGCCATCAGAATGCATCTGTCATTTTATCTAACTTTCTGCAAAAAAAGTGAAGTACATTTCCCAAAATGTCAAACTACTGCTTTAAGCACAAAACCTTTTTGAAACAATCAACTCACAGTCAGACCAAATTATTTTTGAAGTTTCCATTTATTAAAGTTATGAACAAAGAGACAAATAAGTTATATTTTTTATTTGTTAGAATTCTATCAGTGTTTGAACATTAATATTTAGAGAGCTAGTACAATTTTCTACTTTCATGGCTAGCTTTTAACAAATCCATAGAAACAGCTGTCACTCTCCAAAGGTCGGAACGTAATACTGAAAGGGAGGCGTTGATGTCATCTCACAAGACAGTTAGCAATGAAAGTGTGCACCATAAGGTTTTTTTTGTTATGGTATATCATTACATATAAACTCTTTAAAAATATACTTCTGTCAAATACCTTGACAACTACTATGTACACTACAAAAATAAATTTTCATATAAATAAATTATATGGCATACATTTATCTTTGTAACTGAAAACAACATACATCCATGCCAACCGAGACCAAAATGGCAGTCTGACAAAACCACTGATTTTTTTTCCTTTTAAAATCCTCTAAGAGCTATGATGAGACCTGTAGTGTGTAAAATGTTATATACTCTTTTTTTCCTATTTAACATTAGTAAGCACTTTATACAGATCAAATTTAATGTAAAAACATTAAATTGTAATAGTGTTTTTCAATAGACATAAAAATCCCTGCATTTGTCATCCACTGGCATCACAATAATGAAAGAAAAACAAAATATTTTATAATACAAAAATATAAATATCGCAATTGACCATTGAAACAAAACAAAAAAACATTTAAAAATGAATAAAATAGTTGCCAGCTATGATTCTCTCCACTACTGCCAATGTGACATTGGGAGAAACAAAACCAAACAAACAAATCAAAAAACAAAAACGTAACCTATTTCATGCAAGCAAATGATGTAACATGATGGACAGAAGAAGTTGGGAAGAAGTTGGGAAGGAAGTGAGGTGTCTGATGTAACATGATGGACAGAAGGAGTAAAACTGGAAGAAGTTGGGAAGGAAGTGAGGTGTGGAAAGTTGTGGGTGAGCAGATCAAGGGGGCCTGGGTCTGAAACTGAGGGGAGCAGTTACAGGTATGCATGTTGACCTACGCACGTGCAGATATAAACTGGCCAGTAGAGTAAGACCCCTTGAGGTTCTGAGCTGTGCCATTTGGCACTTGAAGGGAGATGCCCAATGTGTGTCATGGCATTACTGAGGTTAGTGGGCATGGCTGGGGCCAAATTAGGGCCAGTTGTCTTTACTGTCACTAAAGGAAAGCTGAGACAGAATAACAGGATAGATTCATACACACATACATTGAGACACATAGCGCACATTGTCAGGCCGTATAGGGCTTAGCCCTTAGCAGGCTGCATTGGCTAGCTTATCGGTTGGACAGAAATAAAGAGCTACTTGAGGTGAGATATTTTGCTGAATGAAGTTTAAATGCAGTCAAGTGCCATCATGAATTGGATCATACAGTATATAGTCTGAGTTTTAGCTTATCCACTAGACACTTAGGGTGCAGAATTAGCATCCTGTGTTAACCCTGTACTAGAATCGGTAATGTGAATGTCCCTGTAATGGCAGACTGAGTTTCCGAGGTGGGTTTACTGCTCGTATGTCAGTATATGAGACAGAGCCTGTTTTGAGCCTGCTAGGGTTAAACAATACATAACCTCTTACAGTAAAATACAACCAGAGAGCAGCCTAACAGTGAGACAAAGCTGAATGCAGAAACAGGTTCCAATGCAAAGGCATTGACAAAAAAAAAAATAAAACAAAAAACTGCTTTTAAAATTTCTTCATTTCTGCTCATCTTAAATAGCACGCATAGCGTGTCAAGTTAAACAGTAATTGTTTCATAACTACCACAGGTTTGTGATAAAAAAATGTATAGTTTAACATGCGTACCTTTGTACAATAAACCACACACACAAACACACACACACACACATATATATATATATATACCATAGCCTCTCTTGATAATTCTAACAATTTCCCTCATTTTAAAGGAGTGTAAATGTTAGCCTGTTCTGAGGATGAATCTGATGTATAAGCCAGAAAATAATGAGGCTGTTGCACATCACACAACTATATACTCATCTACTATAGACACACACGCACCCACACATACATAGACAGATCACTTCTTTTGTTTAAAGAGACATTTGCATAGTTATAAATGTATATTATTAAAAAGATTTTGAGCAGCAACAGTGAATGCTGACAGGTATTTTCATCTAGATGAAGCTTCCTAATGGCACAGATCCACAGATGAGTGAACAGTAATCAGATATCTCTCTCTCTCTCTCTCTCTCTCTCTCACACACACACACACACACACACACACACACACACACCATATAAAATGGCAGCCCCAGTCTGTTAACATGAGTTGTACAAATCTAGCTACTATTTGTTCATATTTACATATGTCTACATCTTTTAAATATAGGTAGAAATATCTGAGACAAGAATGAGCACCATGATGGAAACATTGGTGAGTTTCTTGCTGCTTAGGGTTGGGGGCAAGCATGGCTGTGCCAGGCTGGGTCATCTGTTTAGTAACAGGGAGGAGTCCATCTTTGGCTGTTGCACTTTGTTCTCCACAACTGTAGATAAAAAGGACACTGTATTGTCATCGCTGAAACAGGCTTTTCTAAATAGACAGCTGCACTACATTTTGATCTACTAAGTCACTGAGAACTCACCTCAGCTAGCCCGTCTCCTACTGTTGCTATCAACTGCCTCCAGATCCAGGTCTTGGAGCTCCATGGCCTCCCCCTTGGCTCCTCGGTCTCCTGTATGGGTGTCCAGTGGCACATGTGGATCTGGGAAAACAGGCTCTTGCTCTGCCAGCCCTGATGGGCGGTAACTGTCTGTTGCAGTGTATCCTTGGTAAGAGGAGGTGGAGGGGCTCTGGTTGGACAAGGGTGGCGGGTGAACAGCAACAGTGACGGAGGCTGACGCCGTTACTGTGGTGATGGGTTGGCAATATGGGGTGGGGTTGGTGTGGTGGTGTGGGGGGTGGTGATTAGGCTGTGGGTTATGGGAAGAGGGGGGTCTCTGGGCCCGCC